TCTCCTTTCATCTCTCTTAAAAGATATTAACAAATCAATAGAGCTCTCACATGAAGTCTGGATGAAAACCTTGCTGTTTAGCATGGAGGTTTCACAATTGACCAACCTGACTCTTTTTCTGATGCAAGATATCAAAGAAGTACAACAGTTCAATTTTCCTCGATATGTCTTTAGTTACAGACAAGTAGAAAGTGTTCTGAAGGAAATCATAGTTAGGGAACATAAGGCCCCTATCACAGGTCCAACAGCTACAGAAATGTTTGATGTGATTTGTTCTAACCCAGTCACTATGGGAACGTTTGATTGTCTAAACCCTACAGATGCTAATCAAACTTGTGTATTCAACTTACTAACAATTGCTCCAGTGATCCGAAATTCAGAGATTTACGAACTATTCGGGGTACATGCCCTGCCCATAGCTGAACCTACTTATATTGGAACCCCTAAATGGTTACAAGTCTCTATCTCTCATTCCCATCTACTTCATCAAAATGGAAATCTTTTTGGTATCAACGCATACAAAATCCCAACCTGTTTAAAACCACTAGGTTACACTGGTTGCCAAATTTGTCGATTCCAGCACACTCCCACCAGAAGTGCAGACATGTGTATTCAAAAGATTCAAAGCAGAAGTAACGACGCAGATATAAAAACTGCATGTCCACTCAAACAAATCAAAGAGCCAGAAAACAAGGTTGTTCAGTTGGACAAGGATGAATTTGCTTACGTGGATATTGACAAGGGCCATATTACTCAATATTGTGCAGCTTCTGAAGACAGAACCTTACCAGCAACAGAAAATTCCTATGAATTGCCTTACTCAGGTATTCTCAGATTTAAACCACGTTGCAGGTATACAATAGTCAATGGACCTTTTAAAGGTGTAATCCCGAAATTAGAAAATGTTGAAATCAATGCTGTAAATGAAGTTCCAGCATCTGAACCAAGAAATACTGTAATAGAAGATATTAGTGACATTCAATTGCATTTCAGAGATTATGGATATATTTATCTAATTGTCTCTATAGTGTTACTAAGTATCATCTTACTCAGTATTTCCTACCTTTGTTCTGCAAAAATTAGATATGTAATTAGAAGAAGAAGACGCCACAATATTGACCTTACTGAAGGGACTACTATTGAACTAGTGCCTAACAGAACTGCCCCAGCTGCCCCTCTATATCCAAGACTGCAAATTAATTCCACTGGATTAATGGCTATTAAGTGAAACTGTGGTGAATCTGTATGAATACATATGTCTCATGATTTTTGTGTACTGTTCTCTGTGAAATTGTGTAGCTATCAATGAAGATACTGTTGAAGTTTGGAGCCAACCTGAAAGGGAACAAAACAAAAACAGTGAAACAACAGTTCTCTCTGGAAGCATTTTATTGCAGGTTCCTAACTGCAACAAAAGCCTAACCGCACCGAAATTACGCGCGTGATCTACTCTTCATTCACAGTCTTGAAAGATTCCATGTTCTGAGCGTCCGCCTGGGCCTGGGTTGTTTTTCCAGATCTTGGTGGGGATCAGCACGCCAATTCCTCATCATCCAAAGACGGACCGCCAGCCACAGCACACGCCACAGCATGCCGAGCATCCCTGGGTGCCTCAACCTGGCCTGTAAACGCTGGAACAAAAACATGCTCAGCAAAAAGCAAGAAAGCAAAACATGGTTACAGAAAGGGAGCTCACTGCTAAAATGTCTGTTGACTGGACAAATGGTAGCAGAACGTCTGGTTAAGTCAGCCATCTCCAATGCCTCCCCAAAAGAGAGATTGGTTATAGCTGTACCAGTCGACGTTTCACTACCTACTCTCTCAGCATCAAATGACCAGCGGTTTTTACAATTTAACTTTACTGCCCCTTTCTGATGTTAAGCAGTTAGTATTGAGCAGAAGCACAGACAGGTTATAGAAAATTGCCTCAACCTTTCTGAGTTTTTAGTAACACACCTTAGCCTGATTACGGCAGCAAACCAGTCCGGTTACTACTGCGGCCAAGGAAGTGAAAGCACCAGCACACCAAGCCAAGATCTTGAGGACATACCAAGGCACAACTGTTTGAGTTACTTTCCCATTCTTGTCCACAGTTGTAATGTTCATCTGAGTAGCCTCAACTATGGAGTCCAACAGACTGGTCTCATGGTTCTCCTGACTGAATTCACCAGAACCAGACCCAGAACCAGACCCAGAACCAAACCCAGAACCAAGACCCATGATATTGACTTCTGGGACCACTGGATTTTTGACCATAGGAATGATGGCCCTTGCTGGTGGAATGACATTCTTTTCAGTTCTGGCAGACTTTTCTGGTGCCTCATCCTTTTTGAAAACCATTTCTCCAGGGACCAGCACAGGAACAGCCAGTTATTGTTGAACTTCCTTCTGAACTTCATCCTGAATAATTTTCAGCACCCCTGCTCCAGTAGGAGTGCCCAAAACTGCCTGCTTGAATCCTTCCTTGGTTGTCTGTACCTCATTCTCTGAAAACAGGTCAAGAGATAGGAAGCCTGCAGTTGTACAAAATTTTTGGCGACTCCCTTTGAGAGCTAAAAACTGAAACAAAATGAGCCGACTCGTAATTCAATCCGCGCACTTTTTTCTGCGCGGAAAACTATTAAGACAACGAGAATCCCCAGAAATGGGATGCACAAAAGTGTAATTTAATCGGCGCATCCCGAGATGCGCCAAAACAAACGAGAGATAAGAAAGCAAATCCCCAAAACTGGGGTGTCTATGGAATAAAGACGAATTGGCAAAACACACCAAGAAAGAAAAGAAAACAACCCCAGAGTCGGAAATAAAAACAATGATGAAAGACGGCACCCTCCTTTGTAGTCAGGAGAGTATCTATTTTTCTCGGAACTTGGGGGTCGTTCGACCCTCTCAAAGAAGCGCAAAAAATGAAATGGCCAGCTGCTGGCGATGCGCAAATTGTCTCGCCTTTCCCAAAAAGACAATTTGTCTTCCAAAGTAAAGTGATGTAGAGCTGTCAAAATCTCCCCTGGAAAGGACGCTGTAAGTCAATCTGCTAGAATATTTTCCTTTCGCCGAAAATATTTCGGCAATAAACTCGAGCCAAAAACACCCGGTCTTTTCGAGAAAACATGCTCTAAAATATATAGTCAAAACAAAATTGTAAAACTTTCGACAGCAACCGTCACCACCTGGTGTTTTGAAATTGCCACCCCAAAATTTTTGCCCGCCAAAAACTGGCGCAAAAATACATAAAACCTTGGAATTTGGCGCAACAGTCAGTCAGTCGAACTTTGAAAACCCTGCGAAGAACCCAATTCAAAACAAAAACCAAACTCGCGAACTTTTTCGAACTTAGAGAAATTTCTGAACCATCAAAAAAGGACTCTGAGGAAATTCGGAAATTCTCCTCAAGCCTCTTCTTTGTTTTGTAGTTGATCTTGTCAGCAACCTGTTGCTCTGAGTGTGTGAACCCTGTTTCATTTTTCCATCACTGGAAATTTTCAGACCAAAGATTCCCAAAAATTCTGACCTGAAATTCCCCGTCTTTCTTTTCCATCACTGGAAAATATTCGTACCAAAGATTTTGTGAATACCTGTCATAATCTGCAACCGAGTGCGTGTGTATGTGAACCATTTTATTCGCCTGTTGTGTACTGTGTGCTTTGTATCATTTTTACAGCTTGATCTGAAAAGAAAGGTCTGCGCTAGTTTGGAGAAATCCCGGTCGGTTTGCGCCCGACCAATTGTCGTGTCTTATTCAATCAATCTGAATTTTGCTTTCCGAGACTCTGCTGTAAATTAAATAAGATATTCAAGGTGTAAGGCTTGAAAAAATCCATTCTAGAATTAAAACCTTACAGCAGTCACTTTCTTTCAAAATTTAGGTATACTCACTCTTGAAGTCAAAATAGCAGAAATCCCAAGGAAAGACTACCCTCTCCATGCCTCTAGTCTTCCCTCTGCAGAATGTGGGCTCAGACAACTTCACTTTCTGAAAAGAAAATGGATTGTACTGGATTACTAAATTCTTAATCCAAGACTTTAGTTCTTACCTCCAGATGATGGTGTTTCACACAGTCAAGGTCCAGTCTGTCCCCAAAGAAGTCCACAGCAAAGTTGAAGACAGGAGCTGCTTCCCCAGCCTCACAAATGTCACTGCAAACCAATCTCCCTTCCACATCAGAGCAAGGAGCAGCTCCCACCAGATGACACCCCAACAGGAACAGAAAAATCTGGAAATGGATAATTTTTTTAGTTTTTATTTTTAATGCAATCACAAAAATACTCACAACAAGCTGAAAGTCCATTTTGGGTGTTGTCAAAGTTCTAACCATGTTTTCCAGAGGTCGCCCCTTGCGTTTTTCTTGTGTGTTATGACGCGCCGTTGGACTTTTCTCCCGTAGCGTCGTCTGCGTTTCGGCGCCTGTGCTTTTCTTTTTCTTGATTTTTTGAATCACTAATTTCTGAAAAAACGGAAAAATATCAGTCACTGACCTCACAGCACTAAGAAGGGATTAATGAAAAGGAAAAACCTTCACTAGGCAACTCACTCAGATAGATGTTCACCCTTCCAGAAATTACCTCAGAATGAGCATAATTCATCAAAGTCACATCTCAGGAAGACAAGTTGTAAAAACTTGTCTAGAATTCCTGTTCCTTCCAGGGTGTGGGAACTGACATTCCCCAGCATCCCTCTCATTTCCTGCTTGTGAATTCCTGTTTGGCTGTTGGATGTCACATGGGAATCCCATCAATACCTGATGCCCAGGCATGCCACCTTATTTCTGATTGCCAGTGTTGCATGACATGTGCACACTAAGGAAAATCACTTGGGAAAAATTTTGTGACTTTTCTCGATTCTTTTTTTTTTTTTTTTTGCTCACTTCTGAAAAGATGGAACTTTTCTTTTTATTTGTCTGCGGTGAGTTTGTTATATAAGATCAGTGTCCCAAGACACTCAAATAATACCTTGTTGGTGTAGTTGTCATGTGACGTGTTCCGTTCTACTTTTATCCATAATGGATCAGTCTGCATCCGGTTTACTTTCGTGGCTCATGACCCGCCATTCACCTGTTCCTAAACAAATCTATAAAGAGGACGCCCGAGCATCCTTTCCGTATTCATTGTCTGTCAAGATCTTGTGGATGTTGTTGCTGGACGAAATATACTCTAACACTTTTGGTAACCGAGAAGTCTTTTACTTCAGAACCCGGTATACAGAGTTAAAGCTTCTCAACAAGAGATTTTCCTAGTCGGATATTGAATTGAGTTTAGGTTTGACTGCAAAGAGACGTCAACGCAATTGACTATAGATTTAAGATTAATTCTGACAATATAGGATAACAATACGTAACTGCGTTATGTACAGATTGGTGGCAGTTACGTATTTTTATACATGACAGTGTAATTAAGTGAACCATATCTTACCAGTACTGTGTCTATTATGCGTATAGTGCAGCTTTACGTGATTTCAATTATTTCACTATAATTTCTGATATATATAAGAATATATCTATCAAAACATGTATACATACTTTTATGCAAAACAGCAGAACAACACTGTAATAATAGCTATTGTAAAAATGAACGGTTCTGACTGAAATTCAAAAAGTGTACCCCTTAATATAGAAAAAAGCACTTATTATTGTTATTAACACATGCCTTTATTTTTAAAATTGATGGAGTTACCCTGGTGAAATAATCCGCGGAATGAAGTGTTACGTTTTGCGCATCTCCACATAGATGTCACTTAAAGTAGAATGCTATTCATATATTGTTGTCCTTTATATTACAGGACTGAGTCGAGAATAAAAGAACCAAGTTCTCATTCTGGATTAATATCCTTTATACAATATTCTCATCCACATACAAACATTCAATACAACAATACAAATACACAAACACACAAGTCCAGCTTGTACTTTACTTCGAAATAGGTTTGAGCTTTAACAGAGCTTTGGCTATGGAGTTTACTGTATGAAGCTTGGATGAGATCTCTCTTGAGATTTCACCAAGCAGGGGTATTTAAACCTAGCCAGCTTAGATGGGGGAAACAAAGGAAACAATCATCGCAACCCTAATAGCGGAAATCCTGATCCGTGAAATGAACAAGGTAGAAATTGCTCTGAGTGAAATATAATTGTGCTGGTTACACATCAGTGATAATGACCACGCGCAACAAGAACAAGAGAAACAAATATCACTCAAATTTCGTAAAGAGTTGAGCCCACCAGGGTTTCAAGATTGATTGTACTTTAATTACCTAAAGGAAGGTTATTGTAACTTGTCATGAGAAGTTGTCAAGAATTCTCATCAAGGAAATTGCAGCGATTATCTTCGCTTTAGCAATTTCCGTTTCTAGGCTTTCTAAAAGGTTTCTTCTGAAACTACCAAAAAGGGTCTTCTGTAAATTACTGTATTTCTAAGATAACAAACTCACCCCGCACAATAAAAAAAGGTTCCATCCTTTTGCGAAAGTCAGCAGAAAAAAGAACAACAAGTGAACCGAGTGCGAGACTCAGTGCGACAGTGCCCTATTTTCCATTGCTGTATCTTTCAGGAGCCATAAAGGCTTTTATGGAAATGGCAATTGTTATTGCCAACGATCAGGAGGAATCAGGCATGGATCCAACAGATGTTCGGATGGAGAAGAATGATATCTTCTTCACTTGGCATCGAGTGCCATTCATTAACGGATGATCCGTTGGGCCTGAAATTTTGGCGGTTAACTTTGGTGAGTAATGTTAACTTATATTGATTTTTTCAAATTTTTCAGTCGTTAATTTAACGATTTTCGTCTTGAACGACGCAGCATCGTAACGAATTCCTGTCAAACGAAATCGTTGGAAGTTGATGGGTCTCCTGGAGCTGGTGGCCTCAAGCATTGTTTCGCAAATTGTTTGTTTGGTGAGTGACTTTGTTCCCGTGGGGATCTTCAAGTTTTTCAAGAGAAGACTTCAACAAAGTAAGTTTTGCAACACAAAATAATTTTCAGAAATAATAAATTTTTCAAATTTTGACAGATGGCGTTTCTGAAGATCGCGACGTTGCTGCTGTGGCTGCTGGTTGGTGCTGGTGCGGACTGCGGTCCAGAAGACGGCGTCTTCAAGTGCCGGGACCTTTGCGGAGAGGAGGTGCGGGACGCCAGTGGCTACAGACGTCGGGTGACGTTTATTGGGTCAACGCTGTTTTTGGACTGCGTTCGTCAGGCGGATCTCAAGGTGAGTTTTTCAACGGTGTTTGCCGAGATGGAAGTAATAGCTTTCCTGTTTCTGCAGGAGGTGAAGCTGGTGTCGCCGACGGTCTGCGTCGCGCGTCGTGTCGAAATGGATCGTGTCGTGAAGCCGTGGAGGTGGTGCGAGGAGGTTGTGCCCCCCAAACTGGAGATCTCGACGGCGGCAGTTCCGCCCGTGGTTGGTGAGTTTTTTCAGCTTTTCCATACAAGCATAAACGTTACAAAATCAACACTCACAACACATATCTCATTCCATATAGCATCATAACACATAGCCAACACCTTACACTATATATATACAAAAAAATAGTTTTCCTTCACCAGATATTAAAAGATATTTTTTGTATGCACAGACGAGCCTTGCCCTGTGGTGCCAACGGCCAACCTGGCGGTCGTCCACATGCCGGCAAGCAAAACGCCGTTTGTGGTTTGGGCACCGCCCTCGACGCAACAAAGCGTTGTAGTGGCCCAAGAGGTGCCACACGTCATTAGGGCACCGTCGTCAACGCTGGAGGTGACGGTCAACATCAAACATGGTGTTGCGCACGTCGAGGCGGACGTGGACCCGTGGACGGCAATGGTCCTGGTCTTTATGGGCCTTGGAGGTGCTGGGGCTACATCCTTGGCAGTCTTTTTGGTCTGGCTTGTGAAGTTCATCAGGAACAAGGTTAGCCAAATTTTCTTTGCTTTAATAAAAATTTTATTAACAATGCTTTTGCCTTTCATGCTTGCTTGCTTGCTTTTTTGTGCATGCCTTTCAAAAATAGAGAAAGAAAAGAATTCAAAAATTGGATAAAGCTAAAGTTAAGGAATGCATAGTAGGATCTATGCCCAACATATTTTTTAATGGGCTAGATTCTGATGATGAAGAATTTGAAGTTTTCTCTCAGAACTATGCAGATATCAAGGCTAGATCCCCAAGAGTTTCAACATTTAGACAAGGTAAACAAAATATCATGTAGTTACAAAGGAGCGCATGCAATAATTTTTTGATGCTTTGCTTGTGGCTTTTTCTTCTTTTTGTACAGTCATCGTACATGAGGGAGTTGGTGCGCATGCTGACGCTGGAGGATCAGCAGGATCCGGAAGCCCAACCAGTGGTGGACCTGCTGGGGCTGGAAGAGGCGGATAAACCCGTCGCAGAAGAAAAGGAGGAAGAGTTGGTCCTTGAGGACAATAATCCTTTCAAAGAGATGTTGAACGCGTAGATATAAAATCGCGTCAAAGAAAGAGAGTGCCATTTTCGTACCCGCATTTTTATATGGGTCTCTTGGCAATAGAGAAATTTGTAAAAAGAATTTCTGGCCTCTGATTCTCTTTTTTGTTTGTCTTTTCCAGCCAAATTTCTTATCAGAAAGTGATCAGCAAATGGACAAGATTCCTGTGGAGGAGTTCATCTCTAATTTAGGGTAAATTGCAGGTTTAGGAGTAGGAGATTGAATAAATCTCACAGATGCTTGAGCATCATCAGTTCTCCTGGAAGGAGAGGATCTCCTAAGTTGTAAGACATAGCAAATCTTGGCATAGCATAGATAAACAAGACACAGTAGGATAATGAGCAACAATGAGACTGACACAATCATATAAATA